TAAATGAAAGAAGCCAGACACACAATAGATCGTATGATTTTGTTTACATGAGATAGCCAGAATAGGTAAATCCGTAGAGACAGAAAGCAAATTAGTGGTTCCTAGGTGCAGGGGAATAACTGATGAATGGGTATGAGGCTTCGTTTTGGGGGATGAAAATGTTTTGGAACTAGTAAGATGTTGGGTATACACTTTATGAATGTATTAAACGCCACTGAATTATATACTTTAAAATACTAATTTTACCTCAATTAGAAAAAAAAAGATTCTGGGGCGCCTGTGTGGCTCAGTCGGTTAAGCATCTGCCTTCAGCTCAGGTCATGATCTTGGAGTCCTGGGGTTGAGCCCCGTGTCAGCAGGGAGTCTGATTCTCCCTCTGCTCTTCCCCTAGCTCCTTCTCCGTCTCGCTCACTCTCTCTCTCAAAGAATAAAAAATTTTGGAAAAAAAAAAAAGATTCTGCCCTGCAGTAGAGATAAGATTAAGGGTATAATAAGGTACCTACCCAAGCCTTATGGCCTCAAGGTACTTGTCTTTAAATTGAGAGGGAGGCATGAGGGTGCAGAAGCAAAGAAATAACCAGGTTTCAGAATATTGTCCAGAAAAGAACCTTACATGTGGCTACAGGCATTGGAAAGAACTAGAAGCAAAAAGATTAGAAATCATCAAGTTTCGAACAGAATTAAAAATAAACCAAAATCTGTTCCTTTGAAAAGACAAAAAAAAAAAAAACTTGATTAAAAAATTAAGAGTTTAGGAAGGAGGAAATTAAACCAAGCATAGGCACAAGATATATTATAAAAATTATATAAGAATGCAGCCTCACATGGCATATAGTATATAGCTTTTATACACTGAGAGAGTCAGTCTTTTGAGGCCACAAAGGTAAAATTATAAAACTGAATCCAACACACACGTTTAATGTGCAATGTATCATATTAACAAGTTTAAGAAGAAAAATCATCTCAATGTAAAAATAGCATTTGATACAAGTCAACCTGCTTTCATGATAAAATTTCTTGGCATATGAGGAATAGGGAGGAAGTTGTATAACTTGTTACAAAGTATCAAACTCAATGTAAATGTAATACTTCATTGGGAAGCGTTATAATCATTTTAAATTGAGAACAAAACAAGTATTTCAGGTATCACCATTTCTATTAATCATTTTCCTGGCATTGCTAGCTAACATAGTAAGACAAGCAAAATAATAAGTAAGTAAGTAAATAAGTGGAATCTAGCTGGCTCAGTTGATAAGGCATATGACCGTTGAACTTGGGGTTGTGAGTTCGAGGGCTGTGTTGCGTATAGAAGTTACTTAAAAATAAAATCTTAAAAAAAAATATATATTGGAAAGGATGAAAAAATACAGTCATTTATATATGATGAAATTTCAATGTAGAAAATGCAAAAAAATCCATAGATAAACAATACTATCATGAAAAATTTCACTAAGATTTAGGATACAAAGGCAGAATGTAAAAATTGATTGTTTCTATTAATCAAAAACTTTTGAAAGAGATCTAGAAAAATGAAGACATGTAGCATGTTCAGAGGTGGGACAACAATATTTTAAAGATGTCAATCCTCCCCATATTAACGTAATTCCAACTAACACCGCAACAATTTGTGTGTGTGTAACCTGAGATGTAGGTTCTAAACTTTGCTGAAAGAATAAGACTTGCCCACACAATTTTCCTAAAGTAGAAAGTAACTTGCCCTGTAAGATATTAAGGCTTCTTATAAAACTTATAAAAACCATAGTATAAAACCATAGTAACTAAAACAGTATAGTACTGGTCCAAGGATAAAGAAATAGACCAATAGAATACTTATATATAAATTAGAAGGATGAAAACATGATATATGATAGGGTTGGCATTACAAACCAAAGAGGAATGGCTGAGCTAGTCAATAAATGTTGTTTGGGCAAACCGGTTTTTCCAACAGAAAATAATAAAATTTTGATTACTATCTCACACTATGTGCAAAAATAAAATTCCAGATATTTTAAAGATCCATGTTTAAGGGGCACCTGGGTGGCTCAGTCAGTTAAGCATCTGCCTTCAGCTCAGGTCATGATTCCAGGGTCCTGGGATCGAGCCCTGAGTCTTGCTCCCTGCTCAGTGCAGAGCCTGCTTCTGCCTGCTTCTGCTCTCTCTCGGCATTTCTGTTGCTATCTCTGTCTCTCTCAAATAAATCAATAAAATTAAAAAAAAATCCATGTTTAAGAAGCAGGATTTAAAACTTTTAGGAAACAATATGAGTATCTTTATAACCAGGAGAAAAAAAGGAGTTTTTTTTTTTTTAACATATTTTTATTCCCTTATTCATTTTGGACTATATTCAAAAGAATGAAACTGAACCACTGTCTTACACCACACACTCAAAATGGATTAAAGACCTAAATGGGAGACCTGAAACCATAAAACTCCTAACAACAACAACAACAACCATAAGCAATAATTTCTTGGATATTAGCTTTAACAACCTATTTATATGGATATGTCTCCTTAGACAAGGAAACCAAAGCAAACTAAGTATTGGAACTATGCCAAAATAAAAAACTGTTGTTTAGGAAAGGAAACCATGATACTTGCATTTTTTTTTTTTAATAAAGATTTTTTTTTTTTTTATTTGACAGATCACAGGTAGGCAGCGAGGCAGGCAGAGAGAGAGAGGAGGAAGCGGGCTCCCTGCCGAGCAGAGAGCCCGATGTGGGGCTCGATCCCAGGACCCTGGGATCATGACCTGAGCTGAAGGCAGAGGCTTTAACCCACTGAGCCACCCAGGCGCCCCGATACTTGCATTTTTAAAGAATAATCTAGTTTCAGTGTGGAGGATGACTGGAATAGAATTGAACTAAAAATAGGGAGAACGAGGGGCACCTGGGTGGCTCAGTGGCTTAAGGCCTCTGCCTTCGGCTCGGGTCATGGGATCGAGCCCCACGTCCGGCTCTCTGCTCAGCAGGGAGCCTGCTTCCCTCTCTCTCTCTGCCTGCCTCTCTGCCTAGTTGTGATCTCTGTCTGTCAAATAAATAAATAAATAAAATCTTTTTTAAAAATTAAAAAAAATAAAAATAGGGAGAATGATTAAATAGAGGGAAGACAATAGTTAAGAAATAATCGTGCATGGAGTGACACAGTAAGTGGCACTGGGATGGGCAGAAAGTGGAATTTAGCCATTCTGTGGGTTATTATCCAGCAATGAAAAGGAATAATATATTAACACACACAAACATGAATATCAGAAAGCTATTAGTAAGTCAAGAAACCAAGCACAACGTGTATTTTATAATTTTATTTATATGAAATTCTAGAAAAGACAACACTATAGCGACAGAAAGGAGATCAGTGGTAGGCTGGGGTCAGGGGTCGGGGAGGGTCAACTGCAAAGGACAGTAAGGAAGATTTTTTTTTTTTAAGATTTTATTTATTTGACAGAGATCACAGGTAGGCAGCGAGGCAGGCAGAGAGAGAGAGGAGGAAGCGGGCTCCCTGCTGAGCAGAGAGCCTGATGTGGGGCTCGATCCCAGGACCCTGAGTTCATGACCTGAGCCGAAGGCAGAGGCTTTAACCCACTGAGCCACCCAGGCGCCCCAGTAAGGAAGATTTTAAGATGAAAGAGCTATTCTATAACTTGACTGTGGTTACACAATTGTACACAAGTACCACAGTTCATCAAACTCTATGATTCAAGTGGGCGAATATTATTTTATGTAAATAATATCTTAATAAGTTGTTTCTAAAAGTGAAAAAATGAGACCAAGAACAAAAAAGATTTAGGAGGTAGAATTGATAGGACTTGGTGAGTATAAAGTATGTGTATATTTTGTTTTACATGGTGGCTGTGTTTCTCGAAAAGATCTGTAAAATTAAATTTTAAAATGCTCTAAGGTATTCAACCCTTACTGATTGCCTTAAAAGTATTTGCTAATAGAGAATTTTGAACATATGCAAAAGCTGACAGAATGGCATAATGAACCCTATATACTTGACATCCAGGTTTTTTTTTTTTTAAAGGTTTTATTTATTTATTTGAAAGAGAGCATGAGCTGGGGAGGGGTGCTGAGGGAGAGGGGGAAGCAGACTTCCCCCTGAGCAGGGAGCCTGACTTGGGGCTCAATCCCAGGACCCCAGGATCATGACCTGATCCCAAGTCAGACACTCAACCGACTGAGCCACCCAGGCACCTTCAACATCCAATTTTAACAGTCACCCATTTATGGACAATTTTGTTTCTTTATACCCCATTCTACTCCTGAACTATTCTGAAGCTAATCTCAGACATTACATAAATTCACTCGAGATATTTTAATATGTATCTTTAATAAGTAAGGACTCTTTAAAGCACAGTATCATTATCACACTTAAGAATTAATGATACTCCTTAATGTTATCTAATATCAGGTCAGAGTTCAAATATCTAATTATCTCATGAAGTTGCAAATTTTCATTTTTATAGTTTGAGTCAAATTCCAAATAAGGACCACACACTGCAATTGATATACTTCCTCAACCCATTTTTTGGTAAATTCTACTTCCCTTGCAATTTATTGACTAACCTGTGTACTTCTTAATGTAAGAAATGCATCTGCTGGGGCAGCTGGGTGGCTCAGTGGGTTAAAGCCTCTGCCTTTGGTTCGGGTCATGATCTCAGGGTCCTGGGATTGAGCCCCACATCGGGCTCTCTGCTCAGCAGGGAGCCTGTTTTCCCCTCCCCCTCTGCCTGCCTCTCTGCCTACTTGTGATCTCTGTCAAATAAATAAATAAAATCTTAAAAAAAAAGGAAATGTATCTGTTATGCCGATAACTACCTACTATTTTAATGGGCTTTTAATTTTCATTGTTTTATAATTAAAGAAATTTTAGTTGCATTCCAATAATTTTTTGACAAAGCCGTAATTCGGCAACATAGGATGATCCCACAGTATCCCTGCTATGTACGTGCATTCGGCCGTTTTGAGCACCACTGAGATACCAAGACAGGTGGCACCACTTACAGTTGTCTGGAGATCATCGGTTCTATCAGTGAAGATACTCAATCTGTTTTCGCTTTCCAAAATTTCATCAATATTTTGGGACATAATATTTTTTACATCAGTTACTTGACTCCTCAGTGTAGATATCGGGGTATCGTCTTGATTTTTATTGTATTTCATCTACACAGAAGTGAAAGATAATACAAATATTATTTTCTATAATTGAAATCTATTACAATATGTTGTACAAATTGAACAAAAGTGTCAAAAGTATATTTCACTTGCTTTTCAGCATAAGGAATCAACCAAGCTTCAGATTGTCCCACCTTAATCTTGCTGAGAAAAGGGTCTGGGGGTTGGACGGTAGATCAATATTTCAATGTATACAATCAGTGGTGGAAGCCTTTTTTTAAAAAAGTTATTTATTTATATATTTATATAGTGTTTTAGAAAGATGTTTTAGGGTCACAGTAAAATTGAGTGGAAAGCAGAGTCCACACCTATTCTTGTCCCCTCCAGCCCCTGCCCCCAGCTCCCTATGAACATCCCACACTACAGCAGTGCATTTGCTGCTATGGATGAGCCTCCGCTGATGTCTTCTCATCACCCAAAGTCCATGGTTTACATCACCGTTCACTGCTGGCGCTGTACATTCCCTTGTGCGGACAAATGTGTAATGACAGGTGTTCTCCATTACAGTATCACACAGAACAGTTTCACTGCCCTATTAGACAATGATTTACTTTTTAAAAAAGATTTTATTTGTCACAGAGATCACAAGTAGGCAGAGAGGCAGGCAGAGAGAGAGGGGGAAGCAGGCTTCCCGTCAAGCAGAGAGCCCGATGTGGGGCTCGATCCCAGGACCCTGAGATCATGACCCGAACTGAAGGCAGAGCCTCAACCCTCTGAGCCACCCAGGCACCCCAATGATTTACTTTATTGATTCTCCTTTGTAGATTGTATAAACTGATGTGACCTTACCTTTTTTCTGCTCTAAAAATAATGTGCTGCACTGGTTCACGCCTCCCTTCTCCCTAAGCCCTAGCAACAATTGGTCTTTTTCCTGTCACCACAGCTTTGTCTTTTCCAGAATGTCACATAGTTGGAACCAAGTAGCCTTTTCATATTGGCTTTTTTCACTTATTAATATGCACTGAAGATTCCCCCATATCTCTTCATGACTTCCTCGCTCGTTTCTTTTTAGTGTTGAGTAACAGTCAGTTGTCTGGATGTACCATAGTTTACCTATTCACCTACGGAAGGACAGTCTTGGCAATTATCAGTAAAGCTGCTCTAACACGTGCATGCAAGCTTTCGTGTGAATAGCAGAGTTGCGACTGCCGGAGCGCATGGTAAGTGTGTGTTTAGTTTTCTAAGAAACTGCCAAACTGTCTTCCACAGTGACGGTTCCATTTTGCATCCCACAAGCAGCGAGTATGAGCTCCCAGTCAGCATCAGGTTCTGGCCCAGGGTGAATTTTGGCCTTTCTGTATGTGTGTAGGCTATCACCGTTGCTTCGATTTGCGATCCCCTAATGATGCAGGATGTGACCATCTTTTCATGTTTATCTGCCGCCTGTACATCTTCTTTGGAGACATCTATTCAGCTTAGTGGCCCATTTATTTTTAAAGACTTTATTATTTAATTTTTTTACTTTTTAAAAGATTTTATTTATTTGACAAAGAGATCACAAGTAGGCAGAGAGACAGGCAGAGAGAGGAGGAAGCAGGCTCCCCATTGAGCAGAGAGCCTGATGTGGGGCTCGATCCCAGGACCCTGAGACCATGACCTGAGCCAAAGGCAGAGGCTTAACCCACTGAGCACCCAGGTGCCCCAAGACTTCATTTTTTAAAGTAACCTCTGCATCCAACATCCAGCTCAAACCCACAACCTCAAGATCAAGAAGTCATATGCTCTACCGACTGAGCCAGCCAGGTGTTCCCCTTGGCCCATTTTTTTTATCAGCTTATTTATCATCTAATTGTTGAGTTTTCAGAGTTCTTTATGTATTTTGGATAACAGATGTATCTTTTGCAAATATTTTCTCCGTCTGTAGTTTTATCAGATGTGTCTTTTGTAAATATTTTTTTTCCAGTCTGTGGCTTGTCTTCTCATTCTCTTGACAGTTTTTTGATCTAACCTGATAATCTGTGTCCCCAGTTAAGAGCAATAATGAACTATATGTAGACCATTATTTTTTTAGACCATTAATTTTTAATGTGATTATTGATATAGTTGGACTAATATTTACCATATTTGTTACTGTTTTCCTTTCATTGTTCTTGTCCTTTGTTCCTCTTTATATCTTCCATTTTATCCAATTAACAAAAATGATCTCTACAAGAGAGTGTTATATTAAAAAAGTAAGCCGTAGCTGCAGAACAACATCAAATCATAGCTTATTGGGCACTTAATATGTGCTAGGTACTGTCTTAACCACTTCACACATATTAACTCAATTCCCAAACCACCTGATAAAGTAGTATTTTTGTCATCTTTTATTTTCTAAAGAAGAAAACCGAGGGGTGCCTGACTGGTGCAGTTGCTAGAGTGCTTGATTCTTGATCTCAGGGTCTTGAGTTCAAGTCCTGCATTGGTTGTGGAGTGCACTTAAAATTAAAAAAAAATTAAAAAAATTAAAATTAAATTTAAAAAATTAAAATTAAAAAAAAAAAAAAGAAAACTGAGAGTGAAAGTAATGAGGTATCCAAATTGTTATGCAGCCAAACAAGGACAGTCAAGCTCCAGAGATTAAGCCTTTAACCCACTGCATTAATGACCTCAGTTTTGTGAATTTAAAAGTTATGTATAAACTTATGTTATATATATTATAAACATATGCATATAAAATGTATATTCTCATACATTTATTATATATTTATCTATATGCATATTTATATATAAATAATTCTGGAAGGTTACACATTAGGCTGTCTGTTAAGAATGCTCACTTCAGGGGATTTGATTGAGATTGTAGGAGACATTCATATTTTGCCTTATATATTTTGTGTTATTTTACTTTATTAATAAGCCTTATTTTTAAACTAAAAAATATTAAAAACCTCTGCGCTTTGGCAAGTTATCAAATTCACCTTTTAAAAAAGATTTTATTTATTTGAGAGAGGGTGAGAGAGAGAGAGCGAGTGAGCATGAGCAGGGAGAGGGGCAAAAGGAGAGGGAGAAGCAGACTCCACTGAGCAGGGAGACCGACTCGGAGTTCGATCCCAGGACCCTGAGATCATGACCTGAGCCACACAGGAGCCCCTCAAATCCACCTTAAACAGAACTCTGATCTTGCTGTTTACTGGAGCATGCAATTTACAGCTGATGGTCTGTGAGGGGCTCGCTAGGTAAGTGTAGAAAGAAGAGGTTGCTAGTTGAATTGTGTCCCTCTCCTGAAGATATGTGCAATTCCCAACACCAGTTGGCTAGGAATGTGACCTTCCCAGGAAATAATGTCTTTGCAGATATAATCAAGTTCAGATGAATGGTTTGTCTTTTTTCTTTTTGTTCCTTTTTTTTCTTTCTCTCCTTATAAAAAATGCTTCATCTTTTTTAACCTGAGGGAATCATTTAAATTTTGTTAAGATAATGTATTCATAGTCCATTCATTGGCATTCAGCTTCTATACACACATACACACACACATATTTAAATTTCTCCAAACTATTTTTATTTTGTTAACTACTGTGTAAGAAACTCAACTTTTTTTTTTAGAAATTCAACAACTTTTATAAAATTTTCTACAGATTTAATGCTTACCTTAGTTTATAAATGTTAAACAGAAATTTCTTTGATGTCAGGTGTGTTAACTGCTCGAAATGTGCATATTTTCATATGGTAACTAGTTTTCAGGGAGCTATGTCAATATATTTTGTCTGTGTTGAATCTGCAGAATTCTTCATAAGAAAATTTATGAATTTACTATAAAAGCATCTATCCTTAGTTATTTTTCAGGCCTTGTGGTGGACACAGCCTATGGGAAACCCAATGCATCACATTCTTGAAACCTCCCCCCACAAGTATGACTTGTTTCTAACTAATAGCAAAGATGATGGGGTGTCACTCCTGTGACTATGTCACATATAAAATTTAGTAAACTGGTGTAGGGAGACTCCTCTGGTGCCTTTGAGAAGGAAGCAGCCATACTGAGACTGGCAAAGCGGCAAGGAACTATTATCAGTCTCTAGGACCTGAGGGTGTCCCCTGGCCAACAGCCAGCAAAAAGCTGCATCCTTTAAGGAAATGAATCCTGCAACAGGCTCTAAATGAGCCTGGAAGCCGAATCTTCTCGAGCTCCCAGATGAGAGTACAGCTTGTCCGTTGACACTCACCACAGCTTTGGGAGACCCTGAGAGGAGAACCTGTCATGTGAGGTCTGGATTCCTGACCCACATGAACTATCAGATGGTAAGTGTGTGCTGTTTTAGGCTGCTGATTTGTAAGAGAATATAATATAATATAATATAATGTAATGTAATATACTAAATACTAAAAAGGTATACTTAGAATATTTTATTATGGAAAATTTCAAACAAACACAAATGCAGAGTGAACAGTATAATCAATCTCTATGTACCCATCACCTAATATCAACACAGTCAATCTTGTTTCATCTGTACTACTACTGATTCCCCCTTCCCCAAATGTATTATTTCAAAGCAAATCCCAGACAGTATATTATTTTAATCTGTAAACACCTCAGTTTACATATCTAAAAGATATGACCTCATTTTTCTTAAAAATAAAACCACAACATCATTATCACATCTACAAAAATTCCTTAATATCATCAAACATCCAGTTTGGGTACAAATTTATAAAAAACAAATCATAGTTTTTAGTTTTTTTTTAACGTTTGTTTTGTTGATCCAGAATCCAAAGTCCACATTTAGTGGATATGTGTCTCTTTTAAATCTATGAGTTCTCCTTAACTTTTTCACTGTTGCAATTTATTTGTTGAAGAAATTGGATTCTTTGTCTTGTAGATTTTCTCATATTCTGGATTTTGCTGATTGCTTTGATGTGGTATCATTTAATGTGGTCCCTGATCTATTTCCTGTAAACTGGTAGTTGGGTATAAAGGCTTGGTCATATTCAGGTTTGATGTTTTGGGCAAGCATACTTCAGACGTGTGCTGTATACTACTCATTGTATAATAGTAGGAAACATAACTAAAGATCGATCATCTCCCTTATTGTGACCCTCGGAATAATCAGTGGGTTTGGGTGTTTTGAGCTATTTCATCTGTTATGAAGTTCTTCATCAGCTTTTCACCTAATATTTTTAGTCATTGATGATGACTGCTCAGGTCCATGATTTCATCAGCGATTATAAAATAGTGAAATTTATCACCTCTTCTTTGTTTATTAGCTGGAATACATCTATAAAGACCAAAAAAACCTTTTCCCTACCAACTACTTGTTTTCTTTGAGGTACAGTTCAAATAGGAAAGTCAGAACAGATTGAGTCTTTTACTTATTGGTTTCTAGAGTGATAAGATAGATCCTTAGTATCTTCCAGAGTTGACTGGTGAGGAATTATTTCATCTTTGATAGTATCTAGAACTCATGGAATTTAAGACATTTGATGTGTTACAACCCACTGCAGTTACTATTCTTTACGATGTTCAAGTTATTCCATCACTGACCAGTGTTAGCCTTTTTAAGTTGGTTCCTAAAGCCTTTGACATGAGCACAGTGAACTTTGGTAGCTTCCTTGTTTCTGGTATGACAAAGTACTTCTGGCTTACATGTTTCCTCCCTGATATCTGCAGTCAGGCCTGGTTCCTCTAGTGTAAAATGGTATTTAGAGACTATAATCTAGATGCTAAGGGGGCACATTGCTCCTGGGTTGCTCGTTATTTCTAATGTTTTGCAGTAGATAGGCTAGGAAATACTTTTTTTGAGAAAATATATCATGAGATATATTTTCAATGAAGAAATTCTTGGGGTGCCTGTCTGGCTTAGTTGGTAGAGGATGTAACTCTTGATCTTAGGGGTCATGGGTCTGAGCCCCACATTGGGTGTAGAGATTACTTAAAAATGAAATCTTTAAAAAAAAAGAAAAAAAATTCAGTATTTAATTTTCAATTAAAAATTTTCACAATTTGATTTTCTTTTAAAAAATATTTAATTTTCAATTAAAATTTAGGATTATAAGGTTTCACTTAATTCTTTGACTTTATATTTGCAACTCTTGCTGAAAATCTTGATTCCTAATGACATTAACATGATTACTCAAAGCAATATATCTATATAAACCAATTTTAGAATAGCAACACCAATGTTATCACTAATAATGTGGTACTTGAAAATAAATACTTTAAGATTTATTTTTAGTTCTTCTATCATTAGGGTATAATC